CTATCCCGGCAGCCAGAGAGCCCCCAGGAGAGGGAGAGCTGAGAAACAAGCACAAACAGTCCCAAGTAAACTTCCGAAAGGCAGTTCCTGGGTGCAGGGCTTACACCTGGTGTGCAGAGGCCTGGAGCTCGGTCCTTGCCCCGAGCTGCGTTCACCTTCCCGGCCCCAAGCCTGGGCTGAGGGCGGCAGGGGAGCACGCCTGAACAGGGATTGGTCACCATGTCCTGCTGGGCGTCTGTGTGGCCGCACCTCAGGGCCCGGGGCTGCCCGGCCAGCTGCCACCATGTGCCGGGAGGGGAGGGCGTGATCTTGCCGGGAGGCAGCAAACAGCCCCAGCCACCGGGGTGCGGCAGAGGGGGGCTCAGCAAAGGCCCCTCACAGGAACACTGCTGATTCCGGTGAGGGTGGGGATGACTAGGCGGGGCAGAGGGTCCCCACCAGAAGCAAAGCAGGGAGTGGGCATAGCAGCCCACAGGGGCGCCACAGGGGCAGGGGCCTGAGGAGGCACCCTAAAGACAGCCGGGCACACTCTGGGAACAGTGTTAGAAGTGGCCAGCACACGGGGCCTGACCTGACAGGGAGAGCTGGACACAAGGGATGAGGGATTGGGGGGAAGAGGGGTGCGGAGGGACAAAATTCCAATGGGGAGAACAGGGGTGCAGGGGGGATGAGGCTCCAAAGAAGAAGAACAGGGGAGCGGGGAGGATGAGATTCCAATGGGTAGAACAGGGGTGGGAGGGCACGAGGTTCTGATGGGGGAGAACAGGGATGCAGGGGGATGAAGTTGCGACGGGGCAGAACAGGAGCGCAATTTCTGGGGACAGAGAGGAAAGTCCAAGGTCACCATGCAAACACCCCTCCCCAGGCATAAGGCCCGGAAGGTCTCCCGCTGGATACAGCAGATGCTTTCGAAAGGCCATAGCATGGGCCGGAGTCATAGGCCAGCGGGGAGGATGTCTGCTTTGCATCCGGCCAACCTGGGTTCGATTCCCAGCACCCCATATGGTCCCCTGAACACATCTAGGAGTGATCCCTAAGCACAGAGCCAGGAGTGAGTCCTGAGCACTGCTGGTTGTGGCCCTAAAACCAATAGATTAACTAAACAGCCATGGGACCAGAGCGATCAGCACAAGGGCTGGAGCTTGACTCCACATGGCGGGGTTGGGGTGGGGCCCAGACTTTATCCCCGGCACCACATAGTCCCCTGAGCACTGTCAGGAGCAACCCCCAAAGCACAGAGCCAGGAGGAGGCCCTGAAGCTGGGGGTGGGGCACCCCCCAAACAGAAGCGCTGAGTAGCCTGAGGCCCAGACTAGAGGGGACAGAAACCCCCAGACCCAAGAAATGTCCGAGATTCTCCGAGTAAAGGGCAGCCATCCCAGGTGGAAAGTGTAACTCAACAGATGTGCGTAAATATGGAGGAGCTGCTTTATATTCAGAATTCTTCAAAAGAAAACTCTACGGTCATGTGTAGCAATGGCCATCACCCAGGCTTGTTTGGGGTCACTTGACAATATGGATGCCCAGTCCTTGCCGGCACCTGAAATTGCGGACACGTGGTCATGAGCTTGAGTCCCAGACAACTCACAGACGGCCCTCATGGCTCTGTTCTGTGAGGCCCCGTACCATGAGCAGGTGCTGGCTGCACCGCAGCCCAGAGAGAGAGAGAGAGAGAGAGAAGAGGCCCCACCCCAGCTAGCGCCCGAACTCTGGTGGCCGGGGAGCGCGAGCGCTGAGGAGCGAGTGTGTGAGAGTGTCACAGAGCCCCGTGACTGAGGCGGAGCGTGTCCCCAGCTCAGGTGTGAACAGCAACCGAGGGGAAAAGGGTGGGAGGATGGGGTTAGCTGCATCCCCGTGGGAAGGAGATCGGCCCCACCATGAGGAACTCCACATGGGTGGCCACCAAACCCAGCCACCGGCCTCATGCAGACATGGGTGGGTCCCCTTGCACTTTTGAGGAAACATGGAACTGCCCAAAGCCTGACCTGCAGGAGAACCCAAGCCTGAGAACTGTGGCCAGGCCTCTCAGCCCACTGTCGGGAGTGGCCCTGGTCACCCCCATATCGGGGGCGGGGGGGAAGCTCCAAAATAAATTTTAAAAAAATACAAATGTCTTCTCTGAGCAAATTTTTTTTCTTTTTGGGTCACACCCAGCGATGCTCAGGGGTTCCTCCTGGCTCATGCACTCAGGAATCACTCCTGGTGGTGCTCGGGGGACCATATGGGATGCTGGGAATCGAACCTGTGTCAGCCATGTTGGCTGCGTGCAAGGCAAACGCCTTACTCGCTGTGCTATCATTCCAGCCCCTGAGCAACATTTTTAAGAGCATGAGACAAACCAGAGAGTGGAGACTTTCCACACCACTCGCCAGCACGGGGCTCGGCTCTGGAATACCCAAGCACGTGCAGCTCTCAGCAAACAGTTCAGAGAAAAGCAGGAGACTCCACCAGCACAGACACAACAGAAGCAGGACAGGATCGGACACAGACGAGTACAGACAAAACCTGCCAAGAGACCCTAAAGGGACAAAGCCCAAGACTCTGATCTGCCTCAAGCCGGGCCACACACACACACGACTGAGGCAGGACCAGGCAGGGACAGGCACAGAGCCGGGCAGCTCAGGGAGGTGATGGGGAGAAGAAATCTCTCAGCCACAGAGCCGGCGGGCGAGAGGGGGCAGCGGAGACGGCTGGCCTATCCCTGATCCCAGGACAATGAGCTGATGTGGGAACAGACTGCAGCTCCAAGAAAAACACTCAGGCCACGAAAGCGGGGCAGGACAGCGCTCACTGCTCCTGCATCTTGGTACACGCTCAGGCCACACCACACCAGGCCACGACAGGAAAACTGGGTCAATTTCGCATCAAGAATGTTCCCATAACCAACAACAGCACCGGCAGAACTGCGGGCCCAAGGGGCTCTGCGGAGAATGGCCTTGAGCCAGGCGAGAAAGCATGTCCTGGAGACAGGCTCACTCAGAACATGCTGAGGGCACAGTGTGCGTCCTATTCTGGCCCCCAAACCAGAGCCACACAGGCCGGAGGGAACTCACAAGGAAACAGCCAGTGGGATCCAAGGAGGGAGGCCCAGTGTGGACGGCCACCACAGGAGAGGCCACGCTCGCCCTGAACCTCCTGGAGGCCAGGGCAGGGCAGCCACGTGAGCCACTGGCCCCAATGGAGTCACTCAGGGTCTGTCACTGCCCCAGGCAGAGGCCACCAGTGCTGCCCCCCTCACAACAAGACTCAGCACCAGGGCACTGAGGACAAATAGGACCACAGATGAGTCCCCACACATGGCAGAGACCATGAGAAACGTGTTCTACCCAGTCCCTTACACAGACTCCAGAACAGGTGAAAGGGGGTGATGGGAAGTAGGGAGGAGGGTACTGAGGCCAGAGCTGGGCAGGGAGGAGCCAAGGGGCAGTGCCTGCACTATCTGTGTGACCGTGGATCTGATGGAGTCCGAGACTGCTCGACTCAGGGGGGAGCCCCTCGGGGCTGAGGGGATGGAGGCTGCAGGGAGGTGGAGCTGAGGGTGGAGGGGGCACCCTGGGCTGACTCTTTGGGTGTATGCGGGCTGAGGGACCCGGGAAATCCCTTCACCTGGAGGGGCCACTGCTATAGGGGACACCCCTCCTCTGAGTCACACAGTCTGTCCACGTGAGCCACGGACTCCGGGAGGAGACACACAGGAGAAGGCACAGCTCAAGAGCCAGTCACTCGGGGGATCCAGGTCAGAGAGGCCTCAGGAGCAGAGTCCGGGATCTCTGTGGATGCCACGGGGTCACTGCAGCCCTACAGTGGAGGGGACGCCGTGAGGACAGTGTGGGGGGCTACAAGTGCCCTGAGGTGGGGTCAGCAGGCAGCTTGGTGCCAGGGGCTGGCTGGGGCAGGAGGACATTTCCTAAGGGGGTGCTGGGGTGGCCTGCCTGGGGACAGGCCTGCCCACCAGGGCCCCCAGCGTCCCCAGAGCCTGCAGAGGCGCCTGGCCATCACTGCCAATAACCTAGATTTCCACCAGGAAATCATCCCTCACTGCCCCACTTATGGGATCTGGCTGAGCATCAGTGGCACCCCCCCCCAGCCCCGCACCCAGGGAGGGACCAGGCTCTGGGGCTCCTCCCGTCTCGTGGGCACGGGAGCCTCCACGAGCACCACAGCAGAGAGCCGGTGTGGCAAGAGAGGCGGGACACGGCCAGGCCGGGCTCTGCAGCCTCCGTGGGGACACACGCAGCCCCTCCAGCAGGGACCAGGAAAACAGGCTTCAGGGACTTGGGTCTGCGGCCCAGGAAGGTCCAATCCTGGGCTGTGGTTTCTTCACTTCAGGAAGAACTGAGGTCTCAGGATGGCACCCAGAGCTTATCACACACAGCATCACTCTCCAACCCCAGCCATGGAAGCCCGTGGCACAGCCCTGGGTGCCCCTAGTCCCGACCTAGCTCTACCTGTCCCCAGCCCTGATCCAGCTCTGCCTCCCCCCAGCCCTGACCCCAGGGTCTCCCTGTCCCCAGCCCTGACCCAGCTCTGCCTGTTCCCAGCCCCAAACCCAGGGTCTCCCTGTCCCTAGCCCTGACCCCAGGGTCTCCCTGTCCCCAGCCCTGACCCAGCTCTGCCTGTTCCCAGCCCCAAACCCAGGGTCTCCCTATCCCCAGTCCTGACCCAGCCCTGACCCCAGGGTCTCCCTGTTCCCAGCCCTGACCCGGCTCTCTCTCTCCTGACCACCAACAGCACTTCCAGCATTCTCACTCAGCTTAGCATCTGACTGTGCCGGAGATTAAGCTTCAAGCCCTTACTCAGGGTACTGGGGCGACGGCACAGCGGGTAGGGCATTTGCCTCGCACGTGGCCAACCCGGGTTTGAGCCCCCGCCCCACATCAGGCATGATGCCCGAGTGCAGAGCCAGGAGTAAGCCCTGAGCAGCGCTGGGAGTGGCCCAAACACAGAAAGCAAACCCAAACCCTCCCCGGGTCCCCGCCCCCGCCCTCCCATGCGCGTCACCTGCGTAGCCTCCAGTGGCCTTGATGTACATCTGGCCGTACTGCTCCTCCACCATGGTGTCGTACGCCTCATCGTCCTCCTCGTCCTCCTCATTGTGGTAGGAAGTGGGGCTGTCCGTGGTGGGCAGGCTGCTGGCGCCCGGACTGGTCCTCTCCCCCTGGGAGTAGGGCACCTGCTGGATGCCGGGGATGAGGGTGGCCAGGCTGGGCACACCGTAGTAGGAGACCCGGGGCAGCTTGAGAGGGGCCGCGCTGGCTGCCGCCACGGAGCCGTCCCGGGGCCCCATCTCCAGTGGGCGCTTGGGCGCAAGGCCCGGGCCGGCAGCCGGCGGCAGCTCCACAGCTTCGTGCTTCACTCGGGTGAGCAGCGGGATGGGGACCGAGGGGGACACGACGTAGGGGGCGGCGGCCGGCTGCAGCTGGTTGCAGGGGCTCTGGGGCTCCGAGCTGGCGTCGTCCACCATGGCGGTCTGCGAGTCGCAGTGGGGCGAGCTCACCTTGGCCATGAGGTCCGTGCCGCGCTCCACGATGTGCTGGATCTGCAGGAAGCCGGCCGTGTACATCACTACCAGCTGCTCGCTGGCCGCCATGGTCAGCCGGCCCGTGTAGCAGAAGGACAGGATCTGCTGGAAGCAGGCGGGCGGCACAGAGCCCGGCAGCTCGAAGGCGCTCTTGCTGTTGCCGCTGAACAGGTCTCGGAAGTAGAGGCTGCTGGCAGCCAGCACGGCCCGGTGGGCCTTGAAGGCCTGGCCCTTGACCACGATGGACACATCGCAGTAGAGGCCCAGCAGGCGCTGCTCATTCAGGCAGCCCAGCACGGTGCTCCCGAAGTTGGGAATCTCGATGTGCAGCACCTGGGACATGGCGGGGGCGGCGTGCTCACTCCCTCAGGCCGGCACCCGCGCGGGGCACATCTGCGGGACAGAGGGCAGGGGCTGTCAGGCGGCTGAGAATGTGCAGACTCAGCAGGAAGGGCCCGCCACACGCCCAGCAACTCTCGGGGAGAAGCTGAGCTCGGGCAGCTGCCTGGGGCCCCGGGGTCGCTCGGGCTCTGGCCAGAGTTGCCCCCTCCTGTCCCCACCTTCAGCAGAGGGCAGAGGCGTCCCCCCAGGAGAGGCTCTGCACCTGGGCTCCCCACCTGCAGCCCAGCTCCTGGGCCCCACAGAGTTGGGAGCCCCTCACAGCCCACCTCCGAGGGGCTGATCCCAGCTCGGGGACCGAAGGGGCTGGGAAAGAGGCTGGACAGGGTCAGCCACCTCCCTGCACCCACAGCCTTCCCCTCCAAGGGCTGGGAAGCTCGGGACCCCAGCTTGGCTCCCAGACTCCCGGAGTTGGAGAGGCGGGGCTGCGGGGGGGAGGGGACTCGGGGGAGAAAGGCCCCTCCACCCCGCGCAGCCCGCCACGGAGAAGTTGTGGCCGAGGGGGCACCTACCTTTGGCCGCTGCGCCTGTGGCCCCGGCCCCGGCCCCTCCGCCTGGCAGGGGCCCGCCCGCCCGCCAGCCCGCCTGCCCGCACACTGGCCGCCCGCAGCTGCTCCGGGAATGCAGCAAACGGAGCGGGAGCCCTTGGGGTGGGGAGGGCGCAGGAGCCGATAGGAGGAGGAAGGCGAGGAGGAGGGGAGGCAGCGCTCGGGTGGCTCAGCTGCACGCAGCCGGGCTCTCGGCTCTCCCGGGCAGCAGCGCTCAGCATCTAAATGAAGAGGCCGGATGCAGACGGACATTCAGGCAGCTCCCAGGGATGAATAGCCGCCTTTGATTTGGGAGCCGAGTAAATGCCAGCTCCCAGCCCCGCTTTAAAAACAGTGGAGAGTCGGTGCCAGAGGAATGCGCGCTCAGGGTGCTGGTACAAGACAGACTTTTGATGACTCACTGCGATGCAAACAAAGATGGCAGAAATACTGTACTGTACGTGGAGAAACGCTCCGTGGGGCCACAGCGGCTGAGACAGCCTGGAAATTTATAGTGAAGCTTTGCATATGAATTACCCAGCAAACTGCCGCCTGCTGCCCAGTGCAGGCCGAGTGTCAAAGCATTTAAACTATTCCAAACAGTCTGCGGCTGGCAGAGCCGCCAGGCTACTCCAGGGCGGCGGGGGCCAGCGAGTGGCCGGGACAGGGACAGGCCAGAGCTGGGGGAGAAAGGGCAGCTCAAGATGGGAGGGAGGAGTGGAGGAGAAAATGAGGCAGAAAAAGAGGTGCAGGAGGAGGGTCCAGGCAGCCCTACTCTGTGCCCGGGCCCATTGCACTCTCCCTCCCCCCAGCACCCGGCAGCTCTCCCCCTGCTTGGGATCCTGGGATGGAGGAGCAGCGGCCCCACCCCCCTCACCCTGTGCCTACCTCCCCCCCCACCCCCGCTTTTCTCAACAGGGCACTTTGTGCTGTGGTCACTATAGGCTGCACGTGCCGTGGCCCTGTGAGCAGACGGGCGTCCAGCGTGGGTCACGGCCTCCCCCTCCCCAGGACCCCCATCTGTTGCTGGACCACAAGGCTCACACAGGCCTGCCTGCCCCGTCCCCACCTCTGCTGCCTACCTGCAGCCAGCAGGGCTGAGTGGAAAGGCAGGGGGATGTTAGGGATTTGGGGAGGTTAGGGATTTGGGAGGTTAGGGAGTTGGGGAGGTTAGGGAGTTGGGGAGGTTAGGGAGTTGGGGAGGTTAGGGAGTGGGGGGAGGTTAGGGAGTTGGGGAGGTTAGGGAGTTGGGGAGGTTAGGGAGTTGGGGAGGTTAGGGAGTTGGGAGCTTAGGGAGTTGGGAGCTTAGGGAGTTGGGAGGTTAGGGAGTTGGGGAGGTTAGGGAGTTGGGGAGGTTAGGGAGTTGGGGAGGTTAGGGAGTTGGGGAGGTTAGGGAGTTGGGAGCTTAGGGAGTTGGGAGCTTAGGGAGTTGGGAGCTTAGGGAGTTGGGGAGGTTAGGGAGTTGGGAGGTTAGGGAGTTGGGGAGGTTAGGGAGTTGGGAGCTTAGGGAGTTGGGAGCTTAGGGAGTTGGGAGGTTAGGGAGTTGGGAAGGTTAGGGAGTTGGGGAGGTTAGGGAGTTGGGGAGGTTAGGGAGTTGGGGAGGTTAGGGTGTCGGGGGAGGTTAGGGTGTTGGGAGGTTAGGGTGTTGGGGGAGGTTAGGGAGTTGGGGAGGTTAGGGTGTTGGGGAGGTTAGGGTGTTGGGAGGTTAGGGTGTTGGGGGAGGTTAGGGAGTTGGGGAGGTTAGGGTGTTGGGGAGGTTAGGGTGTTGGGAGGTTAGGGTGCTGGGAGGTTAGGGTGTTGGGGGAGGTTAGGGAGTTGGGGAGGTTAGGGTGTTGGGGAGGTTAGGGTGTTGGGAGGTTAGGGTGTTGGGAGGTTAGGGTGTTGGGAGGTTAGGGTGCTGGGAGGTTAGGGTGCTGGGAGGTTAGGGTGTTGGGGGAGGTTAGGGAGTTGGGGAGGTTAGGGTGTTGGGAGGTTAGGGTGTTGGGAGGTTAGGGTGTTGGGAGGTTAGGGTGTTGGGGGAGGTTAGGGAGTTGGGGAGGTTAGGGTGTTGGGGAGGTTAGGGAGTTGGGGAGGTTAGGGAGTTGGGGAGGTTAGGGTGTTGGGGAGGCTAGGGTGTTGGGCGGTTAGGGTGCTTGGGAGGTTAGGATGTTGGGAGGTTACAGTGTTGGTGGAGGTTAGGATGTTGGTGGCTATGAGGTTCATGGAAGATAGGGGTTTGGGGGAGGTGAGAGTGTTGGTGTAGGGCCTGGTGGCTGTTAGGGTGTTGGCCCAGGGCAGGTGCTGAGGACTGTGACCCATCGATGAGTGGAGGCAGGAGCTGGGGCCCTGTCAGCCCTGAGGCACCTCGGCAAATGTTGTCTGGCCCCTCCCAGGTGAGCTGCTTCTGTGCCCAGAAACCACAGCACACGGGGTGCTGCCCATAGGCACAGGGACCCCACCTTACAGGACACAAGGGCTTGACCGGGCTCCACATACACGGCCCCCACGGAGCAGGTCCCCTACCGTTCCCTGGACTCTGTCTTCAGAGCAGCGGAGGGGCCCACAGGGAGCTGGCACCCACCACTGCACAGCCCAGACACCTCCACTCCCATCCTGACCCTCTCCAGACCCCAGACATCTGGCTGGTGCTCCCGCCCCACCCCAGCTCAACAGCGCTGCTGGAACCCTCAGAGATGAAGCACAGCAGAGTGTGGGGAAACAGAGGCAAGCGCCACACTGCTGAGGAGGCCTGGGGCAGCACAGGCTCCCTGCTCCACAGGGAATGCTCCCCACTGTGACGTCACATGGGGAAGACTGCGGAGAGTGGGGCCTGACACACTGCGGGAGCCTCCAGACCCTGGGGGCCGGCCATGGCCCACAGCAGGAGTCAAGGTCCAGGGTGAGGACGGGGAGCGAGGCTGCGGCAGAGCTAAGATCCTGGGCTGCTGGGCTGAGGGGTGGGGAGAGGGGTCTGGAGGAGCCACCTGTGGGCCACTCCCGTGTGTCCCCGGGGATAGGGCAGTCTGCCCCCCTCATTGCCTCCTGTGCCCTCTCTGCTGGGGCCACACCCCTTACACAAGAGGCTGCTGCTCCCCCAGAAACCGGGCGTTAGGGCTGGGACCAGGACAGCCGGCGGCCACCGTGTCCTCAGGACACCGCAGGCTGCCCCGCCCGCTCTCCCGCCTGCCAGGGCCCAGGCTGGTGTTCGGTTGCTTTCTTAGAAGCCTTTGCAGACCTGAACAAAGCTGGGTTTGAGGAGAAAAGAAGAAAGTGGGGCTCGAGTTACACCCCACAGGACAGCCGGGCACCGGGCACCTGCTCCTTTCACTGTCCCCACCAGGTCATGGGGGCCAGGGGCCACTGGTCATCCTCAAAGCAGGAGGGGCAGTATTGCACTGCCCACCCCGTCGGAGTGCAGGAAGGCCCACTCCCACAAGCACAGAAATCAGGCACCAGCCCCTTTGCTGGGCCTCCTTCGTTTGGGGACCCCCACATGGACAGGGAGCACAGCCCTATGGCCAAGGAGCGGACCAGGGCCCAAAAGCTGCACATGTGGGCCTTGGGCTGCAGGAGCGGGCCCTCCTGGCTCCCAGCTCAGCCCAGATCCCTGCCCTCCCCCGCACCGGGCACCCCTCACACCCACAGCAATAAGCACCCTCCAGAGGGTCTGGGAGGCAGGACCCCAGGGCTCAGCGACTCAGGGGCGCAGCGGCACTTTGAGACTCCCAGGGGTGCTGGGGCTGGGAACGGTCCCGCCACAAGCCAGCACCCATGGGACACTTCCTGTAGAGACGGGGCCACGGGCACACCGGGTAGGCTCAGGTGTGCATTCGGCCCCACAGAGCATGCTCTCTCCACCGGGAGGAAAGCCAGGGGGGCTGGCCTGGGAATTTCAAATGGGCAGCAGGGTCCTGCCCTCACCCAGAGGAGGCCCCTTGGAGAGCACATGCCTGCCACAGGACGGGAGCCACGAGCCTGACACGGCACACAGCCCAGCCAGCTACAAAGCCCCTGCCGGCTCCCCGGCCCGCATTCATACCCGCTTACCCACCCAGGGAGCTTGTCCCCCAGCACCCTTGGGCCTGGGGGACCTGAGGATGACCAGCCTGAGCCGTGGCCCACAGGCACCCCAAAAGGTGACCTGCTCCCCTCCCTAAGGGGTGCTGGGACGAGGTGGGGGTGGGTCAGCCAGCATAGGGATGGGTGCTCCCTCATTAATATTCATTCCCACTCATTTGCATCGCTTCCATAAATAGTCGAGGTAAGACACAGTTCTCCTGCATTTCTAATTATGCCGAAAATCTCATGTAAATCAGACAGACACAGAAATACTAAATCAGCAGGGGTGGGGTGGGGGATCACACAGAGACAGCCCAGCCAGGAGCGGGTGGCAGCCCAGGACCACCTGGCCTGGCGGGGCTGGGGGTCCCAAGTCGTCCCCGCACTGGCTCTGGGGCTGGAGCTCTGAGCCCTGGCACCCAGTGGACT